AACCCTAAACCCTAAACCCTCCTTGGCTTATTGGGGAAGTAAGGCAAGAAGACGAGGCTCTTCGACACAGCCGACAAGGCGAGCGAGGCTTCTCAGATGCGCAGAAGCAAGCAATGTATCAGCTCCAGTGCCCCAGTGTTCCGCTATAGGGGGTTTAGGGTTTAGGGTTTAGTGATCTGCAGCACAGCCCTCCCAAAATCTCCACTTCACAACGGGGTCACTTTCTACACCCCTCTATCTGGGGGATTCGTCTCTTGTCCGCCACTTCGGGAGCGTTCCTGATTCCTGATTCCAGACCCTCAGCCCTATAAAGCCCTGAATCCGCAACCCTAAAAATCGAATCCGAAGCCCTAAAACTTATTAATTAGGGTTTATGGGTTTAGAGTCTAAGCCCGAAACCCTGAACCCTAAACCCTAAAGCCCTAAAGCCCGCAGCCCCAAGAAACCTCGGATTCCTCGGCTATCGAGCCCAGGTTTTCTTCAGCAAGCGCTCTGTTCCCACCGCCAGCGAGATTTTGCCCCCAAGCTAAAACATTTGTAGTCCTCGAAGTTAGGGTGCAGTTTAGGGTTCCTTAAAGGGAGCAAAAAGGGTCTCACACAGGGTACTACAAGGGGTTCTATATGGGTAGTTCTCTAAATTAGTGTCCCTTCCCTTTTGGTGTCCTTTGTGGGAATTTAGAGAACTACCCAAATGACAAGAGTCCAGGTTGGTTAGGGTTCCGGGTTTCCGTTAGGGCTTTGGGTTTTTCCACTCTCGCATGGCTGAGATCTATGCCCACAGGCGAGGTTTAGGGTTTAGGGTCTCAGGTATGGTACGCATAACCCTAAACCCTAAACCCAAACCCTCTTAGAAACCTTGGCCCCTGCGCACAAGACAAAAACTCTAGGCAACAATCCGTTGCGACCCTTGTAAGGCCCCCCACATGGCAGCCTCGGCCCCAAGAGCTTTGCAGCAGCGGGCCCTAAACCTTAGGGTTAAGGTTTAGGGCTTCATATCTTTTCCCCAAGGCTCTCTAAACCCTAAATTCTGGAATCCCAAGTACAAGTTCCACCTCCAAACAACAATCAAAAGACTGCAGGTTTAGCGATCACGACATCTTTCGTCTCAGCAGCTCAGAGGCTCTGGCGACAAGACGGGATCTAGGGATATCAAAGAGCACTACTACGGTGTAGGGACATTAGGTTCATTGGCATGGGGTTTGGAGTGCTTGGTTTGCGGGCGCAAAGTGTTTGGGGTTTGGGACAGCTTCATAATGTTGTACAGATGCCGAGCACATGGGCACCCAAAACACTTTTTAAATCACGGTTCTTTATCATCATGTCTCGAATGCCATACACCCGCATTCAAGCCCCAATGTGGAACCCGGCCATGGCGAGGCCAAACGAGCAAGGAATTGTAGGACTAGTAGTTGGGACCCCGAAGCCCCGGAAAGGGGGTCATGGCTAGGGCGGATAAGGGCTTCGGATCCGTAGGGATGAGGGTTCAGCCGGCCCTTCATCTCTGAAGCCCTGACGCCCGAAACCAGGACTTGGGGCTCATGGTTCGGAACCTATATAAACTTCTATAAACCCTAAGCCGTAATCGGAGACATGACATCTCGAAGCTTCGGAAGGCGAGGCTCAAGTTATTTGGGTGTCCAAGGGATCCGAACATTTCAGGGTTTACATTATGGTCCTCTGTTCTCCGAAATCCGCTGATGATCCCATCATCATAGGCGGCAGTCGAGGTGGGGTAGCTGATGTAGATCACCCAAAATTCGATTCACGTTGTCTGCACGAGAGTGGTTGAGTGACGGGCTGGGTGCTGGGTTAAAACCCTAGATAAGACTGATGCGCCCAGGAAAGCAACATCATGAAGTTTGGCGAGTTCCAGCAGCTGATGCTCGATGCCGGTGTCGTGGCACGGAGCTCGGACGGTTTCTTCACAGCTTTCTACTCCCGATTCCCCCTACTACGTTTACCAGCAATCGGCGGATGCGGGTCTATACCTCGAAAAACGCTCACTGGAACCACGATGGCAAGCTCGGCGCATGCGAGTATGCGGTGTATCCTCCCCTGCACAGCGGAAACTCCCTGTTAACGCAAGAGTCCCCGAGGGGAGCATCCAAGATACGGCTTCGTATAGGGTTTAGGGTTCAGGCTGTCAGGTCTTTATGCAAAATCATTGAATCACTTATACAGTATATCAAGAACCCAAACCCGTTGAAGACCCTAGTCCAATCATTAAGGCCCTTGTCTTTGGTCTCCATGTGCCGGACATGAGTGCCCAGCATCGCTGAATCTTTCGGGACCAAGTTGTTTCACTCTGCAAGTCAAACAAGCGGGGCTGCCTAACATTGCATAACTAAACGACACGCCACAACTCAAGGAAGCACAATCACAATCATGTGAAGCTTCCCTGGAAAGCCTGGAGTCATACTTCGCAACTAACTTAGCCCCCAGAAGGTATCAGTTGCCTGTAGACCCAAAGTGCGAGGCCAGTGTGTTCCGTAGTTTGAGTGCCAAGCGGTAGATCCCCGTGACCCTATACATTAACCCTAGATTCCTCCGACTTTGGAAAGCACATGGAACACACAACATGTCGATTACGGTGGAAGTTGGGCTGCTGAGTGGTAGAACAGTTACTTTGAAAGCAGGACTCGACGAAGCGGTGGCAACATTGAAAGTTCGAGCACAGATCGCTCTTCAGGTAGGCAAAGGGCGACTGGTGGACTCGTCTGGAAGCATTCTGAACACCGAGGCGCTGATCAAGCATGTCAAAATGAAGACTGGTTATTCGCTGACGCTGCAAGTATGTAAAGTTCAAGTTCGATCCACTCTTGGTGCGTTTGCCGCCATTCTTGGCGATGGATCTGTTGTGACTTGGGGTAGTGCTAGTTCTGGCGGTGACAGCAGTACTGTGCAGCGACAGCTGTCGAACGTGCAGCAGATCCAAGCCTCCAGCGGCGCTTTTGCTGCCGTTCTTGGGGATGGCTCTGTCGTGACTTGGGGTAGTGCTGGCCATGGTGGTGACAGCAGTGCTGCACAGGATAAGCTGAAGGACGTGCAACAAGTCCAGGCCTCCAGCAAAGCTTTTGCCGCCATTCTTGGGGATGGATCTGTTGTGAGTTGGGGTTGTGCGCGCCACGGTGGTGACAGCAGTGCTGTGCAGGATCAGTTGAAGAACGTATGGCAGATCCAAGCCAGTCGCAAGGCTTTTGCCGCCACTCTTGCGGATGGAGCTGTCGTGACGTGGGGTGGGGGCTGTCAAGGTGGTGACAGCAGTGTTGTAGGCAATCAATTGAGGGGCGTGCAGCAGATCAAAGCCTCTGAACATGCTTTTGCTGCCATCCTGAACGATGGCTCTGTCGTAACCTGGGGTGCTAGCTCTCACGGTAGTGACAGCAGTGCTGTGCAGGATCAGCTGAAGAACGTGCAGCAAATCCAAGCTACTCGCACAGCATTTGCCGCGATTCTTGGAGATGGAGCTGTTGTGACCTGGGGTAATGCGGACCATGGCGGTGATAGCAGTGCTGTGCAAGACCAGCTGAAGAATGTCAAGCAAGTTCAAGCCAACGATCAGACTTTCGCTGCCATCCTTGGCGATGGTTCCGTCGTGACCTGGGGTGGTCGTTCCGACGATCGTGACTGCAGCGCTGCGCAGCATCTGCTGAAGAACGTGCAGCAGATCTCGGCCACTGGAAGTGCTTTTGCCGCCATCCTTCGCGATGGCTCTGTCGTGACCTGGGGTAATGTTGACAACGGAGGTGATAGTAGCGCCGTGCAGGATCAGCTGAAGAACGTGCAGGAGATCCAGGCCTCGTATCGAGCTTTCGCTGCCGTTCTTGACGATGGATCCGTCGTGACCTGGGGTGATGCTGCCCGCGGTGGTGACGGTAGCACTGTGCAGATAGAGCTGCAGAGCGTGTAGCAGAGCTGTGGTCTACTGCGCGTTGAAAGGAACATTGCGGCTCTGCGTTGCGATGGCAGTTTCTAAAGGGCCGCAGCGATGCAAACATCTGCAGAAGCATGTTCAAAGGCCGGTCATCCCGAGTGGTTTGCTGCAGTTGGGTCTGTGCAGAGGATGGCAAGGCCCCTGCAGTGGGGCAGCTCTTTGCCATGCAGGTTCGAGCGCCCAGAAATGCACCGTCTTCAAAATGCTGGAAAATCGAGGTTATGCTCTATAGCCATGCAGCATTTTGCACTGACTGCAGGTTTCATTAATATTATGCGTCAAAAAGCACGGTTCGAATGATTTTCACTGCAGGATGTCTTTAGAATGCAGGAACCAAGAGGCCTTGTGCCCAGGCACGCCTTCGTTTCTTACAATAAGAATCCTACTGCCCAGGTGTCATGTCAGGACTCCTCATGGTTTGAAGGTTGTAGGATTCCGTGCAATATTATTGCTGCAACTCCCACACAGGCGAATCTGCTGTTGGATGCCAGATAAGGCACATTTCTTTGGGGTGTTCCTTCACATCTGTCTTGATGCAATAGGTTGCTACGGAGTGCAGCTGTAGTGTTTCACCTTCCTGGCCTGATTCTGGCTTGCTCGGCGTGTTCGGATCAGGAATGACTAGTAGGCGTGGTTCTTGCCCGACCGTTTGGTGCCTCGTTTGCTGAATCCGGGATGACCGACGTGTCTCGCGATAGGCTCTCGCAGATCAGATGAGTTGGGTGCCTTTAGGATGCTGTTTTGTGCTGATCTACGCCCCAAAAAAGTGTCTCAGGCCAAGGGCTATAAGCTCTAAATAAACCCGAAGCCATGAATCCCGGAGCCTCAAACAACCCTACACCCCCAAAGCCCGTAAACCCGACCCCCCCCCCCGACCCGCAGGGGTCCCTGATCATGATTTCATAACGAATTTCTTACAAAGGTAGGTGCTTTCTAAACCCTTGTAACGTGAAGCCCTGCAAAACATAGCAAATCCTATAAAACTTACAAAGCACTACCAAACAGTTTACATTGAAGAAAAGAAGCCGCTTGAAACCCTATGAACCTCAAAGCAATTCGACTTTAGGACGTTATTCCACGGTCTCCTGGACAAGACCTGCGAGCGGCGCCATTGGTTTCCTTCTTCGTGGAAGAGCGGGACAGCACTGCAAGGGTGTTGTTGGGCTTAACAAGGCCCCAAGGCCTATAGGCTATAGCAGTAGTTCTATAAGGGTTAATAGAGGGGTGTGGATGAAAGGATTTATAAGGTGTCGGTTTCGGGTCCAGGGTGGTTTTGCAGCTGAAGGTATACGGCTCTAGCCAGGACTCGAAGACTACTGTAGGGCCCGAGGATGAATGACATCTGGGTGTACCGAGGAAAGCAGAGAATACCAGTATAATTTTAAACGCATCGCGTCGTCCGCCTGGGCCCAGCTGTGCTTGAAGCAGGTGCATTGTTTCGGAAAGCAACAGGTAGGTTACACAGGTGAGGTCTTGCGTGCAGGAGTGCATTTGCTTCAGAATGTGCTTTTAATGTCAGTATTTGCTTTCATGCTGAGGCTTTGAGGGGGAAGGGGGGGGGGGGGCGGGGAGGAACGTTGGGGCTGGGGGTGGAAAAACGGTAGACGCAATGTCTGGACGTAGGGCTAGCCAACCCAAAATCCAATTTAAAGGGGGTGGAGGGGGGTCAGGAGGTGGGGAAACAGGGAATCTTTGTGGGAACTTCTGACCGCTTCGGCCGGGGCCGGATTGCACTTATGTACCATGTAAACCCTATAGACTCTAGACCCCTTTCTTCCGGACCTGTCTCTTTGTGGCCTTGGCTTGGCATTTGGAAGTTCAGGACAACGGCAGACAAAGTTGGCACATGACTGCCCGAAGTCCTGGGTTTTTCTTGAGAGGACTGAGGGATGCGCTGGGAGTCTCGTGAAGTGGATAGTCATAGTCTTCTCTGAAGTTGACAAAGAGTACTATCAGGTTCTGAGCACATCTCCTTAGAGTGTTGGTTCGGATGAACGTAATGAGGAAACAGACGCTGACCGTACCATGCAAACATGATCGGGTACGAAGTGTGGTGCTCGAGGGACACCTCGAACTGTACGACATGAAAGGCTTGTGTGTAGTTGTGCAGGGTGAGTCTGGCAGAATCCGAGACCAGAAGTTAGCATTCGCACCCACCGCAAGTGGGTGCCAAGATGAGGTAACACCGCGCACAAAAGCCGTTGAGAGACTATGGAGGTAAGATGTATATACGGCCTCATACGAAATCGCTGCATAAACCAATAATCCTAAACCCTAAACCTCAAGGCCTTCAAAATAACACATACCCAAAATACTCATCTAGCAGCTGCGCTTTCCTAGAGTCAGAAACCCCGGACGACTTGTCATTGAAACCTACCTCCATACAATCCTGAAGGTGAACTTTATTGCAGAAACCTAAAGTACTGCAGCCCTTAAACCCCTACAGCGCCCTCAAAGTATCTTCGAAACCTTGCTATAGAACCTGCAAGGAACCATTTCTCTGGGACGTTTCCAGGAGCCCTTCACATTAGAACCCTTAGAGGAACGCTTATATATATATATACACATTTATATATATATATATAGATATATATATATAGAGAGAGAGAGAGGGATAGATATAGAACTATATAGAAGCCGTTCAAGGAACCCTTGTTACACCACTTTTCGAACGTACCCTTGTTACAAGAGCCTCATAGAACCCCCTTGGTTCAGATCGTTGGCCTCATCCTTCGACATTGGTTTGCTGCTTATGACTCAGATGGAGATGGCGTGCTGCAGCTGGAGGACTGTGCAGGGAGGTTCCTTTCGAGGATTCTTTAGTAAGGATGCCCTTCCGGTTTCCTTTAAGTCTTATTACTTCGGCTTGCGAATCAGCTGTTGGCAAAGGCGTCGGGTCGACCCGACAGATACTCCTCGCACCCCTTCGGACCGGACGCCTTGCCAACATCAAGCCAGCCGGTGGCAGGACTATGCGCGACTGGTTGCCGACTATCAGCTTCCGCTCACGGCCTCGGATGAGGCCGCTGGAGCTAACCTGTCGGGAGAAGGAGGCGGAAGGAGGAGGAGCTGATGATATGTGGCGTTGGCAGTACGAACGCTGGGTGGTAGCTGTTCGAGTCGCCGTGGTTGCGGTATTGTAGTGGTAGCCGTTGCTGTCGCCGTCGTGGCCGTCGTCGTCGTCGTCGTTTCCGTCGGGGTGGCAGCATCCACGCCACGCATGGATTAGTTTTTCAGGCGGATTAGGAGCAGCAACAGCAAAGATGATAACATCAGAACGTTTAAATACAAACGCTTGGAGCATCAGCGGAATCGAAAGCAGAAGCATCATCGAAGCTTCTGAGATTCCGATTTGTTTGTTGATGCTAGCTCTTCGGTGATTGATTGGTAACAAGTGCACCACGAAAAAGCGTATGCATCCGTTACCTAGCCTAGCCTCAGGTCTATACCCGTGCCACGCGCGAGCACCCTGGTGGGCTTGCAGCTTGGCAAGGATTGCGGATGCCTCGTGATGAGGGGCCGCTGTGATTGAGCCAGAGGATATGCTGGACTTTCAGTCGCTGCTGGAGAAGACCAGTGCTTTGTCCACAGGCTTGTTCAGCGGTTGCTTTCCATGCAATTGGGAGGGTGCCAACGCTCTTGCTGTGGATCGGAAACCCGAAACCGACGCCCTGCCGAGCAGGAACCTCTATTGAAAAGGACGACGAGATTGGAAGACTTTGGCGAACGGTGGAGCCTTCCCAGCAGCAGCTCGGTCTAGTCGGGATTCGGGCATCGCAACCCCAGGTCCTCATTCACACGTTTGTCCCCGTAAGCCCGTAATCATATTTGACAGCGAGTTCTTCAGTTCTTGCAGTTTCCTGATGTTGATGCTTTGAGGTTCGTCGAGCCGAGCCGCGTTTTCGTGGCAGATGGACCTGTTTGCACCGGTTTGATCTTTTTCTCTTCAGAGTACTCTTTCCAGCGAGGGGAATGGCAAGGGTGGGGGGGGGGGGGGGGGGGNNGGGGGGGGGGGGGGCAGGGCGGACGCGAAATTGCCACAGCCTCGTGGTTAGCAGCTGTGTTGCAGGACGGACGGGCTCTTCTCCTCCACTTCTGCAGGGGCATCTGCGCTTCGTTTGCTTGTCCGACACACATGGCCAACATCGTGAACTGTCCTCGCGGCAGCTGGACGTGAATACCACAGGTTATGATGAAGTCATAAGTTTGTCATGGGCTTTGTTGTTTGCATGTCCTGTCTCCAGGCTCCCGCCGGGTGATGTTTTATTGCACGCAGGCAGGCCCGACCCGACAAGATATATGGGCAACTAGCTCTTCGTTTCTGAGAGCTGCCATAGCTCGTCGATGCACTGGTACATTCCTGTCCAGGTGATTTCTCGACAGATGGAAGTTTGGAAGAGGCAGGCACCGTTGCCAAAATTGCACATTTAGTTGCTTTCATGTCGTGCCGCCGTCCATTGAGGTCTTGGATTTTGCCGCGTGGATACGGTCGTTGCCATATGCTCACAAGCTTTTGACCCTTGTCGACGGGTATGTTTATGTTTGTCAGCTGAATATCGAAGTTGGTTGTGCTGAGGATTGCTGGCAACCACGATTTGCCGATGGACAAATCCTACCGAGGGGGCAAGGCACTCGTACCGAAGCATGCAGTCAAGTACAGTCCCTTTGGAGAGTTCCCCCTGCAATTTCCTGACACCGCCTGTGCCAGCACTTCAGAAATTGGTCAACACACCAAGGATCCTAACTAACTTAGCTCACATCAGACTTTGAATGGCGTTGTTTATCTTCAGACCAAAAGTCACGAACACAGAATATGTTGCGTTCGAACTCTCAACCCAAAACCCCAAGCATTGAACGTGTTCCGCATGCCGCAGGCCAAGCAAAAGGCCAGCCAAGTGCGCGCGGCATTTTTGGCTGCCTTCTCGGAGGGGGATGCTTACCATGTTTCGCAGGCTTTCGTTTTTGTTGGCCCATATGTGACTGTAGCCATACGGAACGCACAGACTAAGGTGGACAAATTGAGCTGATGTGGAACAGGTTAAGTTAAGTTTACTTTCTGCGCAATATCCGCACCATAGATGCAAGATGTTGTCTTCGAATCAACACAGGATGGGGTGACGTACTTGGAGGACTCGGAAGTTGAAATCGGCACGGCGGCCGCAGATTGATGTCAGACTGGCTGGTGTGTGGGTTTTCGGATCTGCGTGTGAGAGTGTGACAGTTTATGTTTGTGTCTGTTTGTTTTACCAGATTCGTCTGATCACAGTATATCACAGACCTGCGATTGCCACCAGGAAGCTTCCGAACTAACAAGCGGCTGGGGATTTAAAACTTTGACATCCTAACACATGAATCAAAGCATGTCCGTATATCAGGGTTTTAGGAGAACCTCATGGGAGAACAGTTTTCTGTTTCCTCGTTCGCACTTCGAAGGCCCAGACCAAGCGTTGCAAGGTTTGACATTCACACAAGCATGTCCAGAGAGAGGATATATTGATTGGGCATGCTTGAAGAAAGGACCGGGCGTGATGACAAATGGGGAAGCAGCATTACACGCAATACAACCAAAATAGTGTTTTTTGTGATGTGCATGGCAACGTATGCATGCATGAGGCACTGTGCAACGGAGATTTACCCCCAAACCCAACGTGTATGTCACCCTTGTCATTGCAGCATCACTGACATTGACCAGAGGTGGCGTCCGAGTCTACGGCACGCCCTGGCAACCGGAATTCATGGACTGGGCCTTCAATCTGCCCCGACACGAAATTGGCAACAAGTGGAAGGCCTGACACTTGTTCGACTTTATTGTTTTCAGGGATGCGTGCTTTTTGACATGGTGAACAAAACGCAGGCTCCAGATGCTCTAAGAACAGCAAAAGGGCCAGACGGAAGAGCCGCTGGTGAGCTCTTCGCTTCGCGATTGTATGTGAATTCATCCAAAACACTGGGGCATGCGGCGAGGCCCTCAACGCAATCGTATATATGAACACATGCCTCCTCAATAGAGATGAGATGTGGTGGTGTCATTCGGCAGGCAGACCTTTAGAAAGGAATGCCAAAAGCTACCGGGTTGTGGCGGCCGGCTTAAACCCTTCAGTCTCTGAGCTTCATAGGCATTCATACGCATTCGATATGACCGGTTGGATCGGATAGTCGCTCCTCCGCGCGTGACCGAAAAATCAGTGTCCGGAGGCCGGAGCTCTCAAGCCGGACCGTTGTACCAAACTTCATTGCGAAGTCTTGAAGGATGCCTGTGATGTCAAGTATTTGGAAGACCAAGTGGCGTGTGTCGGTCTCCTTGTGGGATGTGACGGAAGCATCATCACTACGGTCCACTCTAAGGGTGGAGATTGCCAATCAAGATGCAACGGTAGTCTTAGCTGGTCTTTGTTGATAGCAGCTCTAAACTAGTTGCCGCAAGAATCGCCAACCGCATCAAGCTTGTTAAGCTAGAATCCAGATCAGGCAGTGCCCACGGGTGTGGACGTCCTGCTGGCCCCTCGTCATTGCTGCATAGTGGCCCTAAGCCCTGAACCCTAAGCCGACAGTGTTTAAGGCCGCTTTGGCGTTGCAGCAGGCTCTGACGAGGGACCCAAGCCCCAAACCCAAACGAGAGTGCCGAGTGCTGGCAGGTGCCTGTAGAGGTTGCGAAGTTTCATTGCGAAGTTTGGAATGTCCCGCATCGCACCGCGGAAATTAGGGCCCGAAGTCTCCCTCCATGCTTCGTGTCGGGACATGTGTGTTTTTTGGGACTTGGAGAGAAACATATAAAAGTTTTATTAGTGGTCCGTTTCGTTTCAATCAATAAACCAATGTGCTCTACTCGTGGACGAACTGCAGAGGACCCTGAATGCTAGAAGATCGCTAGGCTCCGAAATCCTACCAGAGACCGGAAGCCCCACCTCCTAAAATCTTCTTAGGGGCTGAGTAGGTAACCTTTAGCCTTTTGGGGCTTATATAAACCCATTATAATTCGAAAGGTTAACTTTTTTTGGGCCAAGGTACTCGGCCCCCAAGTCTTGTTTGGTAATGTAGGATTCCATCCGCTACCATGTCGGATCGGAGAGCTTCAACACGCTGGAACCTCACCAAGTCTCTGCCCTCTCAACTCTGAAGCCTTTATCCCTTCACCTGCACTTACAACTGGCAAACCGCCACTCCGACAAACCTGCAGGCCATATCCTAAACCAACCCTAAACCCTAAAAGCCCTAAACCCTAAACCCTAAAAGCCCTAAACTCTAAACCATTAAGTCTGAAGACATCAATCTTAAAGTCCACCGTGGAGCAGATGCACAAAAAACACAAAATGAACCCTGGTATCCTGGAAGCTTTCCTTGCGGCCCTGGAGCCTGCAACCTTGCCTGTCCGACCTGCTTCAAGCCGAAAGCCCAATTTGAGGCCTAGTGGTTTAAAAAGTTTAGGGTTTAGGGGTTTCGGGTTTAGGGCTCATACGGTTTATAGGGTGTAGGGCCTGTCTTGAGTGCAGAGTCGTGCCAAAGCCCAAGACCCTAATACAAACTTAACCTCTTCAAACTCCAAGCCTCTAAGCTTTTCCTGAAAAAGAGGCCTCCGCCCTAAACGTTCATCCTGAACCCTAAGCTTTACCCCTAGGCTCCTAAGTAGTTCCTTTTTGTGGCTTATATTTAGAATCCTATAAGGTAATCCCAAAAATCCTATAAGGTAATCCCAAAAAGGAGCTACTACGGAGCCTATGGGTACCCTGAACTCCAGACGTTACCCAGACTGTCCAGGTTCACGGCCCGCCCTTGGGCCGTGGCGATGCGCTTTTGCCCTCCTTGCGGCGGCGAGGCTGTGCTGCTACTCGGATACACTTAATGCTTTAGTGCTGCAGGTGGCTGTAGCTTAATGGCTTCAGATTTCAAGGCGTAGTTATTCAAGATTAAAGGATGTAGGGTTGAAGGGTTTTCGGGTGTAGGGTTTGAGATTTAAGTGGTGGGGGTTTAGGTTTCTGTGGTGTTACGAGGGCTTAGATACCAGGGTTCCGGGCCAATGTAAGGGCACAGCGTGTATCCTGAAGTAGGCCTTGCATCGCAGGGTCCGTGCTTCAATGACCCAACGGTGTAGTCAGGCGCCCCGAGTTTTGCTGAGTTTTCCGGCTTGTTTGTTTGATTGTATGTGCAGCTGAGTGCTGATGGCAAAACCAGCCAAGAAACGAATGCCGAGAACAATGATGACTTGCTATCAGCGTTTAGGTCAGTATTGCTTTGATCTGGATTGTTGTGATGGTCGTTACTTCATGTGCTTCTTATTGTAACTGTGGCCATTGGACTTTTGCTTGATTTGATGGTGGTTGCCCTGTTATTGCCTTGTATTGCTGCGGTCATGTTTATGTTGCTGCCTCTTGCGCTTCTCGTTATCACTCTCATGGGCATGCAACCCTAGACCCGAAGGCCCGTAAGCTCATGATCATGACGCTGCTCGTTCCTTTAGCAAGAGCGGCTTTCTTGTGGAGCTCAGTGCTCCGACGGTGGAAATGTTTGATGGGTTTCCAGGGTTGGTGTATGGGGAGCGCGGGCCTTAGGGCGGATTGTCATGAAATTGCTATGCCATAGTATGGTGGAACCCCATTTGTGTGCATGTGTGTGTGTGTGTGTATGTAAATATACATATTAATATTACTACTTATATTAACATACATATATATATATAGAGAGAGAGAGAGAGACATCTAGATATGGTCTTCCACCAATTCCCAATAGAGTCCTATAATTCTTTGCTGCAGGTACTGTCTCTTGGATTTCAGGGTTGCTGGGATGGGTTTAGGGTCGCAGCCTGACCAGCATCATGAGCATAAACCAGAGCATTCGTGCACCACGTCGACCAGCCTCATGACTAGCAGCATTGTGCTTGTTCTTCCTGGCATTTCCCGTTCATCATGGCATTTGCTACTTGTTCAGACTGGTGCACCTTTCCGTTGCTACTGTGGTTGGGGGTCCTCGCCGCAGCCCACACCGCATGTACAGTTTAGTGTTGCTAGTTCTGGGGACTGGTGAATCCTAAAAGTGGCCCGGAGATCCCGGGGGATGTGCTGCCAACTGAGCCCCCGAAACCCACAACTGATCCTGCCTGAGTCTCTTGCCTGCAAGCCCCAAACCCCGAAGCTTCAAGAATCCTGTATTCGAATCATCGAATCTTAGAAGCTCCGAAACGTTGAACCGCAGAGCAGCACGAATTTTAAACAACAACTTGGTCCCTGAAGCGTGAATCCTTCACACTCCACCTCAAGATCCCCCAAGTAGCTGATGGCCAACTCACCGGCAGCCGTCATCCCGTAGATGTCAGAAACTGCGACTCAAACAGTTTATGGAACTGTGCTTTAACTTAAGCAACAACAATTAGTTTTGTCATCAAGTTGTCATCCTCATTATTAACAAGTAGCATCATTATTAACATAAGTTGACCTTGCGAGGACCTCTTGACGGAAGTCCAAGAGCGGATCCGACCTCAGTTCTGTGTCTTCGGCCACATCCACGAGGGTGCGGGTGTCACCTGCGATGGAACTACGCACTTCGTGAATGCCTCTTCGATGAACGAGCACTACCAGTGTATCCATGCCCCACTGGTATTCGACTCTTGACACTTGTTTATCTATCTTTGTTTTGGAGTTCATTCTGTTCAGATGAGTCGCTGCATGGTGCAGTAATTTGCAGTCACTGCAATTCCAAGAGTATTTACCGGCCGGCGGATGAACTGGTTACACTGAGAGAAACTATGCAGGTAATGCCGGGTGATCATGCTGCTCACTGATTTGTCACGAGGCAGTAGCAGTAGATTGAAGGCTTCAAGTCCGTGTGTAGGGCTACCCGTGCTGCCTGCTAAGCCTGCAACAGCTGAGTATGCGCTTCACAGACGGGGTTTCGGGTTCGCGCTGTGGGGCTCAAGACTCGCATTGAGCATCGGTGGTTAGTATGGAAGTCGAGATGCTAGTGATGGTAATGCAAGAAAGCATGATCTGGGGGGAGTAGTAGCTCTGCTAGTACTAGTACTGGTAGTGGTAGTGGTACTAGCACTAGTAGTAGTAGCACTAGTAGTAGTAGTAGTAGTAGTAGTAGTAGCAGCAGCAGCAGTCGTCGTCGTCGTCGTCGTCGCCGTCGTCGTCGTCGGTTGTTCTTGTTGTTGTCGTCCTCGCCCTCGTCGTTGTTTCGACACCATCCGCAGCACAGGCAGCAGTGGCCACCGCCCTAACCCCGAATCCCACCCACACCCCGATAACACTCAACCCCGCAAACCTGCGGTATTATGTTATGCCATGAAGCCTGCGATCAGGACATCAGCACCTCTGCGAAGGAAGGGTTCCGCTAAATGCATGCGCCATGCGCAGCACACCTTCCATCTCTTCGATGCGCAACCAAAAACCTTGGAGAGCAGTTGCCAGGGGCCTTGAGTCTTTGAAGCAATTTGCCATGATGGTGTGCCCAGCCTTGCTTGCATGCTGTTTGCAGGAGTTGCGTCCTTGTCTTCTGCTTTCGGCTCTCAGCTACACCTCGCTTAGATGGAACTTAGGGTTCCCAGTTTGACGTATCATCGCAATAGTTGCATAATGCTGCCATTGTCCATCGCGTTGTCAGCCCGGCTCGAAACCATGCTGCAGGCTAACCACCGGCACAGCCGTAGAAGTGAGCCAACGCGGATCGATGCACACAGAAAGATGAGAGGATACGATGCAAGCGTTTTCGCGGGAAACTTCCCACATCATCGACCGAATGAACCTGCACAACACGACTCACAGACATGCAATGCAAGCCCTGTACCATTGCATAATTAGGAACGTTGATCATTGGTAGATATCTTTGGCATGGGCGCGACAGCCTGCTCTTTGGGCGATGATCCCTCGCTCCCCGTCTAGATCAGCTTGACTGCAGCATGTGAAATAAACAAAATACCACCCCCTCATATGGCGGTTTCAGAAATTACGGCTCCCTTGTGCGAGGTCCTTGCATTAAAGTGTAAGGGGGCCGCATTTCTTGAAAGCCCTTGCAAGCTAGAGTAGTGAAGCCGATGCTACCTACATATAGGCCATAGGATACGTCATGGATCTCAGTCTGTAAGGTTCAACAGAGGGCTTTATAAGGGCGCAACCTCGGGTCATCGCCTGAAAGGATACCTATAGAATCCGGACCGCGGAGTCCGACAGGGTAAATAAACATTGCCCCTGACATGGCCATGGCGCCGTAGGGTGTCTGCATTTCTTGCAGCAATGCGGGATCAGCTTCAGAATATTCGATTCGAGATCAGCGAGCAGAAGTTGGGCATTGTGGGTTTTTTGTCATAGGCATACTATGATAGCGTGTTGCGCCAATTTCGGAGCACTACCGAATGCTACCCCAAGCCCTGGCTTTGACCCACTGGAGTTCCACGTTCCCTCCAAGCCATCAGCGAAACGGGCCCAAATACCGTGATTCAGGGTTCACGGAGATGCGCGGACGCTCCAAGGTACTCTACCCTTGATTGTCGGACCTGTTTAGGTCCTCGACAAATGCTAGTTTGGATGATGGATCGGACTTATGGTTCAGGGTTTAGGGCTTAGGGCCTAGGGTTTAGGCTTGCTTTGATGTAGAGGAGAGCTTTTCCGTCCAAAGTTCGAGGTGTCTCAGGGCTAACCGACACCCCCAGTAGTGAACAGTAGGGTAAACCCAAAGTCTGAAAGCCCAGGGTTTTAGGGGTTTAGAGTTCAGAGTTTAGGGTTTAGGGTTAGGGTTTAGGGTTTAGGGTTTAGAGTTTAGAGTTTAGGGTTTAGGGTTTAGAATCCAAAGCATTGACATTCCAGCTTTATTCCTGAACCCTACTCGTCGTCCTGTCTTCAGGAAGTGTGTCGGGGGCATCTGTCAACGGCCTGGCAGAGCGGGATTCGATGAGCCTAGGATGCACGCAAGAGGCTTTGCATTAGTTTTTGCTTCCTCGGCGAAGCCGCAAGACCTTTTGTCCCTTCTTCAGGGTTTGAGGTTTCTGAGGCTTGGGGTTTCGGATTCAGGGTTTTGGGGGCCGTGGTTTGCATGTGCTTGGGACCTCGGACGTCCCGTTTCATCGGCTCGGCACGAGAATCCACCCAGTGCTTTTATGCCACATCACGACGGGATGTCAATAGCCAAGCCCTACTGTCTAAACCCCATTACCCAAACTCTACACTCTACACCACGGAATCCCTCAACCGTAATACCCCATTTGGGAAGGTTACACCACATGGGCATGCGAACACACTCAGGACGGCGCGAACCCGCCAGAGTACTTCCCCGGCTCTCAGGATGGACCTGGGGACTGGTGGGAGGGTTCTAGAGACTAGACGGTGTAGGCATACGTAGGGTGTACGTAAGTTTAAGGATTCGAGGGTTTATTATGGGTTTAGGTTTTCTGAGCTCTAGGGTCTCGAGGTGGAGGATTCGAGACCTCCCACAGTTATTCTGAGTGCTGGTGGTTTCGGACCCAACTCCTGATTCTCATATTCCCAGAAGCCTGAAACCCAAGTCCCAATTTTTCGCGTGTAATATGGTGATTCTTGGGGGGTCGTAGCTGAAGACTGACCCGCAAAGCGCCGCGCTGAGCTTTCCAAAATCCCGAATGTTGCGGATAAAGAGGTCTTACAGCAGGTTTACATCTAGGGACGAAAAGGGGAATGTCATTGCTAATTGTTAAGACTTCTACAGTAGCGTGCCTTAGATCACACAAATCCGACAACCTCAGTTCTTCAGGGTAATTCAGGGTTCAGAGTTTACAGAGCTTGGTTCCGCTAAATCTGCTGTGGGGCTTAAATCAGCTAGCACAACAACACTCAAAACCCTAAATCCTAAACCTTAGCAGAAGCACAAACGGCTTTCGAAAAAAAACTAAAGCCAAGAAAGGTGGAGATTCCCTCCACACTACTCAGAATCAGGAGCCCGAGGCCCTCAAAAGAGCGGATGCTCAACCGTAACGGTCATAAATCTGAATCATAAATATGTGTTGGTACTCGTATTTACTATCAGCATAAATTCTTGTTATTCTGACTGTTAGTATTAGCACAATAAGTCATCTTCAAGGGAAGTCCTTAAACCTGGTGATGCCGCTATATGGGTACTTCTCTAACTTAGGGTTCCTTTTGGGGTCCTTTTTTTAATAAAGGTGCCGTACTAGATTAGGGACCTAAACAGGGGCCCCTTTTCGAGAGCCACCCATATCATTCAACCTTGAACCACAGTTTTGTGCGTCTTACCCCTAAACCTCGAAGATCTTGAGCCCAAGAACCTGGACCGACAATCCTAAACCGAACACCCTTCCCTTCTATGTTGTGTTTCTGTTTTATGTCCTTCACTACTTTGGTTCTCACTATTTTAAATATCGCATGATTGAAACATACAATACAGTAAAAGATTTTTCCAGTTGAGAGTATAGGTAAGGAATGGTAAGCCCTGAAAAACGCCAGGCTCACGAGGTTGACATGCATCCCTCACAGAGCCGACGTCGGCAGGTGGGCCTTGAAGAGGGCGCTGTTGTCGTGGCTTTAACATTTAGGGCGTGTACCCATAGGCTCCTCAGTAGTTAGTTCCTTTTGGGGATTACCTTATAGGATTCTAAATATAAACCACAAAAAGGAACTACTTAGGAGCCTATGTGTATGGCTGGGAGCTTACGTTTCAGGGTTTACGTAGGGTTTATATTTTGAATGCTTCTGGGTTCAGGGTCCGTGGGCTTTATTGACTTTGGAGTTTGCACTGCGGGGCTGCTACGGAGGTTTAGGGCTCTGGAGATGGGTAGTAAGGCTCAAGCATATTTGGTACAATCTTTGCTGTGGCAGGTTCGAGAATTCTGAGCGGTAATGTCGGCTGCTTTGCTAGTGGGGATTACTTTATAGGATTCTAAACATATACTACGAAGAGGAACTACTTAGGAGCCTCTGGGTAGTAAAGCCGTTCCTAAAGGATGATTGTGGGTTGAATGGTCCCTGTTTCGTTTCGTCTTCATTGCAAAACAAAAATAAGATTCTTGGGGCTACCCCAAAAGAAGGGTTTAGGGTTAGGGTATAGGTACAAGATACCCGTGTTCGTCTCTGTCGTGCATGATTGTCACTGGTAGGAAATTCCAGCAGCAGAGGCGGGCAGGGGGCGCGTCGCAGCTGCCCGACCATCTTGGGACTATTGCAATCACAAGTATTAGTCCTCGCGCCAGCAACAGTATTTGTACGACTAGATGCGGGAACCTGAAACCTAGACCCTACTGCATGGAGTTGCAATGGGCAACCGAAGCACCTGGAACTTCCAACTTGCAGCCCTAAGCCACAAAATGAGTTTTAACCCTTTAACCCCTAAACTTTGAACATGGTCCGTGAATTCGTGAGGTCAAAGAGAGCCCGATTCCCTGGGCGCCTAAACTCTCCGCTACCTCGCCCACGAGTTACAAATCCCACACCCTCATACTCAGATACTAACGGCATAGGGGGTTAAGGGTTTAGGGTTTGGCTAACTATAGGTCATAGGCAACTTCAGGCTGGAGCCCTACAGCCTGCAACAAGCCAGGGTTTAGGGTTTACGGGCTATCCAGGAGGATTCGTTCGAGAGCTACCTCGGTCGAGACCTTGCGGAACTGTTACACATGCAGGCCCCGATGCGGCTGAGGCTTAGTTCGGTTCAGGGTTGACGCTTTGGTGTGGTTGAGGCTTAGGCATTGCAGGGCCTTTGGCGGGCTTAGTGTCACAGTCGCATAGTGTGCGCTTGGAGTCTAGCTAAACTCTTTCGAGCTCTGCTGGGATCTTAAAGCCTAGTGGTTTGAACACCTCTTTGACAATTTGTGCCGGTGTCGGGCCTTCGCAAGCACACATGAGCAGCATTTCCTGCTGTGAGTGTCACATGTTTGCCAGCTTTCGGGATGTCGAGCAAAGGCATGATTTTTAAGGGGGCTAGGTATTTAATTAGGGATTAGGAGAGTGCGGTGTCGATCCTGCAATGCTTTGCTTAATCAACCGATGTGTGCTTCGGCAAATTTCATGGAAAAAGGAAAATCTCCTGCACAACACCTGGCTCCTGCATTGACTGTTCCACCGGAGCTCCAGTGCCATCAGATTCAAACCAAGAGTTCAGTGTTTCAGGTGTGGTTTCGTCTCCGGGGCAAGTAAGGGCACTGCCAAGGGGCTAGGATGGGGTTTTCGGTTTCAAGCATATTTCAAGTGTACTGCTCGAGATATTAATCTATATACGCTGGCAAGGACCGTGTCTTTAAGGTTTCGGATCTCTCTCAGTTTCTAGGCCTCGTAAGCCGAAGCTGTGCCGTAAAATAAGGTTTCGGTGCCGTAGCTTGAACGGATCTCCGAAAAAAACCACTCATCCGGCCCGAAC